CATTTAATGGGCAATTGGAGTAATGGGGAAGCTATAACTGGAAAGCGTGTCTTCGAAGTTGTATGAATCCAGGGATTATGAACTTCAATTTCGGATACAAGTTAATTAGATCTTCAGTTTGAGCAGGAACCGAAGACCTTTTATTAAAGGAAAGGATTCTATTTATGGAATGACTATTTTATGTGCTCTTTTTCTCGTTGCTTTTGCTTTACATAAAATAACGAATGTTGCTTTAAAAAGAAAAAAAATGCACGTCTTTTTCTTTGTACCAATTATTGTGGGGTTCAAGCTTTAAAATGCAAAATTAAGTCGTATTTAGCTGAATAAGCGTTCTTCATAACTGGAAAAAACAGTAAATAATGACTGAATTGGTATTTATTAATATTACGAAATCATGCTTGAAACTGAAAGACATATACTGACCTAATCGATAAAGCTCAAACAATTCAAATTATTTTTATATTTATTATTTGTTGCTTAGTCCTGTAGTATATTATGTTATTACATTAAGCAAAGCGCGTTTTTGGAATTTCATTCCATCAAAATAAAGACTGATTAACTTCAGTATTACTTGGCATAATCCAATTGCTCGATGTCACCTCATGATAGTTAAAATTCACCGCAATTAAGTAGTTACTTATCCGTTTTGGGGAGCGGTAAAGTATCAATTACCCTAATACCTATATTTTCCTTGGTTCTAATATTAAATATTAGTATATATGTATGCTTGGTACCTATTAAAACAGCGCCTGTAATGTTTTCGAAGCAACAAAATATAATACAAACAAACTAAATACATAGTTTCAGATAACTTTAGTAATACTAATTCGGTAACGTAGCCTTCTCATGTCATGCACGTAGATCTTGCGTGTACTTGTCATAACGAATAAAAAATAATTAAATATTAAAAAGCGTATGAGGAATTTCTTTTTTGATTAAATATAGCTAAAAGCTAGTAAACATCACTAATAATATCTTTTAAATACCCTCAAAAAACTGAATTGTCCGGGGGAAAAACTGAATAATCTAATTTTAAAAAAATATTCTGAAGGTATTGATTGAAATTTTTAAGGCTAAAATTACCTCTGCACCCCCAGTTAAAATTTCAAGACCCTCGCACCAACTGTTCTGGAATTATTAGAAGGACATAAATGCACAAATACTTCCTTTTATTACTTTTTATAGATGTAAGTTTCAAATTAATTAAGACTTTTTGAACTGTATAAAAATCATTTTAAATTCTAAAATAAATACTAGATACTTCTTTCGCTCATTTATAACAACTCTTTTATTTATTTGCTGCAATAAAATTTTTTATAACTTTTCGTCTAGCTAGAGCATACTCATCTCCACTGAAACACTAAACAGTACTGGTCGCTACATGTAGTTAGTAAAGAAAATGATTCGCTTTCATATTTCATAGTAGATCTGACAAAAATAAAATTATTTTCCTATTTTTAGTCTACTGAAACTATGGGGGGGGTGTATTTTATTCTTTTAAGTTTTGTCTCTGTTTGCTTGTTTATGCCGACAATGAACGAAATTTCGTATGGTCATAAATTTCAAATGCACCATTCAGGAAAAAAAATGCATTTCTCTAGGGTAATTTTGACCATTGTTCAACGGCAAAGAAATCATTCTCTTTGGTAACTTTGACCATTCTCTAATGGCAAAAAGTTATAATTATTTTCGGTAACTTTGGTCCTTCTCTTTGGCCTCTGAGAACTTTGTAAAAATCAACTGTAATGCCGGCAATATTGAGACAAAAGTCACTTAATTTACTGATAGTTCATCATTGTGAAAATAGTTTATCATTGTGCGTCCTTAGTAACTTGGATGCGTGAAGGTGACATAAATAGGCAATTTTTCATGTTAATTTTTTTGTACTTCATAAATAGGCAAGTTTTTCATATTATTTTTATTTGTACTACATGTAATAATCATTTGAAGGATAAAAGTGTAAAACTTTTATACCTAACTTTATACCTAAAGTCTTATACCTGAAATTTTCTAGTTGCTAATACTTTGAAGCATTGCTTTAAAAAATGTTCCACATTTTTGTTCAATCTGAGAAAAAAAGGCAAAGAAAAATTGTTCTTTTATCCTGAAAAAGCGGATAAATCTAGCACTTTTCTGACAAGCGTTATCTTTAAAACTTCATTCTTAATAAAACTATGAGGCTAAATCCTTTTTGAAGAAGATTTTTCCAAACAGTTTTAGTCACATCATATACCAAGATATATATTCTCCTTTTTTTAAAAAATTATTTCTGCTAACGGTTACCCCTCTGAAAGTTTATAACGAGAATCTACAAATTTAAAGAGTGCCCAGTGTGCATATAATCTATAAAATACTAACTAATATAAAAAATATATAAAAATTAAATTAAATCATAAACATGTTTTTTTGTTTAATTTACTTCTCGCTAGAAAAACATTACCAAGAATTCGAAAACACGTATAGGGTAAAGTTACCCCCTTTGTAGGTGCAACTTTGCCGAGAAAGGTTTTGAATTTTTTCTCCAAAAGAAAGCTCTGAAAATGAATTTAATTATCATATACAAATTCTTTAGAATGTCATGCAAAGTCAAGAAATTATTTTTTCTCCCTAACTGATAAAAAAGTACATAAAAGTTTTATTCATGTGGAAATAAACCCAGTTGAAAGTAACTTGCATCAGCATTAAACACCAACTTTCTATTCCTATTTAAGTGCTCTAGTTAATTGGAAAATATTCGTAATAATGAACGATGATAAAAAAAATTTGGTGATAAAATAGCGATATAGATGGTGTTTTCAAAAATTATCGAAATAGCCAAAAATTTACAAAGCAAATATTCAAAACATCAAAACTTGTTGTCAGTAGAGAAGCTCCAAAAGAGTTTTGAAAACTAGACTATTCTAAAATCGTTAAAATTTTGATTTCAAGATTAACCCTCACAGACACTAAAGCAAGTTAATAAAATAGCTGTGAAAATTGGCTGTTTCTCATATTAGTTTCAGTTGACCTTGCCTTGTTTTTCATTTATCCTTTCTGATAATGAAAGGAAAATTGATGTCTTTGCTTCTAAATCTCTAATTTAAAAAAAAAAATATTTTTAATACACAATTTCTGAGAAAACATTCACAAAAAAATAATAATAATTCATTTAAAAACGGCCATATTCTGTTTCTGCTTTTCAAATATTTAACTCAAATTCGATTACCCGTTAATCTTTAAAAATTTAATCAATTTTTCTTCGTTCGTAGAGAAAAAAAATTTCGAAACTCATTTCCTGATTAAAAACTAAAAGCTTCAAGGCCTTCTTTAGAAGAAACTTTAAAATTGAAAAAATGAGAAAAGAAAATTAAAAAAGAATATTTTTCTTCAACTCTAAAACCCTTACGTGCTGTTCGTTTTTTTCTCTCCCCCCTTTTTCTTCCACAACAGAATGTCTCTGAAAATAAACATTCATTTCGCCTTAACACGTTGTACTCGTAAGTAGAAAAGAAAAGATAAAAAGGGTTTCTAAATCCCTTCTAAGAATACGGAAGAATACTTTTCAAGACGGAAATGACACCCAACAAAAACTTTTCTTTCTCTTTTGTGGCAACATTATTGAATTAAAATAGTTCTCTGAAGTTGTTTTCCCACTGAAAATACACGCAACGCAACTGCAAAAATCAATACATTCGTTGAGAAATACTTTATACATATCTAAAATCTTTAAAATTTGTCTTTTCCTTTAAAAAAAAATATGTCATTTTTTTCAACATTTCATACTATTATGTAAATGTAATGTTATCTTATCAATATTGAGCTGGTTTTGTGAGGAGACAATTAAATACATTAGAACATTTTATTAGATCATGAAGTGTATTATTTGAACAAAGCTGATTATAGGTTATACTTAATCATATTTTTAATTCATTTAAATTAATATTCTATTAGTTTATTGTAACAAATTAGAAAAATTCAAATTTGAAGCTTCGGATTAAATTACCATTCATTCATTTCATAACACTTTTTTTAATGACGACGTGCAAATTCGGTACCTTAATGTAATTTTCACGTAGTTGTTGCTCATGAAAATTGCATTAAAGAAAAGGCCAAGGTAGCCAAGTGGTTAAAGCATCAGACTCATTCCGGAGGGGCTTCGGTTCAATCCTCAAAGCCGCTAGGAACCAACCAATACATGTGATATACGTGCGCGTAAAATCTGCGGTATCAAAGATCCTTTGGTCAGTCGCTGATCAGTACCATGAGTACAGAGATGTGGAGAAAATCTCCTTCCCCTTCAGATCTATCTCTAAATTATGGAAGAGTGAGTGAATGAGTGGTTCTGCCATCTATCCGGATGTTCTGAGCTGAAGTCAAAACTTCACCATAGCTGTGCTCTCTTAATAAATGAAAGGTGTTCCTTCCTAATTTAATTCGCTAGACTAAGCTAATGGCTGGCAAGTTTGCCTTGTTCAAGTGTCATTAGAAAAACAAACAACAAATATTAAATACTGGTTTGAAAAAAGTAAAAATATTAAACATTTTTTAAAGACGGTATTTTGGAGCAAAGTTTAAATTTTCATCACATTACGCAACACCCACAGGATGTTAGATAAATCATTTGGATAAGTGCATCTGAGATGTAAATGTCGCGAGGCGAATTCGTCTGTTGGAAGTGGTTTATTGCAACTGGAATAATATTAAAAGCGGGAGTAAGTATAAATTAAACAATAAAACATCCTGAGTGTGAAAGTTGCGTTGATCTTTTCTATAAGCTTTATTTAGATAAACGGAAAACTTATGACGCTAGGAACTCCGCCTCCAGCTCTCTCCGTTTGCCAACCCCATGTTTTTCTGGAATGAATCATTGTTCTTTTTCCTTTAAAAATCGATCATTTTCACACAAAAAAAAATTATTAACACTAAACTGAGATAAATTTGAGTTGTATACAAACTTTTATGACTTGTCGAATAATAATTATTCCATACAACCTAACCTTATTTTGTTTGTTTTCCTTCAGTTTCCTTATACTGGGGCCAGCTTCAACCCAGCTAGATCTTTTGGTCCAGCAATAGTGACAAACACATGGCGACTACATTGGGTAAGAAAATATAATTTATTTGTTAATCCTAATCTTGCATTTTATTTGTAAAATATACAACACACACCTTAATAACTTTTGACCTAATGATCAGAATTTCACGTTTAGATACCTAATCCTTAATATGTTGATTATTTTTTGCAGACGATACTTTTAATAACGATATCAGACTCAAAAACATACACTGCTGTCCATTAAAATTTCTACACCAGGAAGGTATGCAAATCAGTATCGTATTAGTTGAACGCATGCATTGTAGAATAACTTATTAAATTTTCAAGAAATCAGGGCTTTTAGGTCTGAAAAATAAGTACCAAAAATTGCCTACTCTTGTAAAAATAGCAGCATTTATCTACCATAACAAAAAGCTAGAAATTGCATTGCATTTTTGGGGACCTCAGCTTCAAGACAATGCCAAGATTCATCAAGAACGGTAATTGGTGAGTGGTGGGGAGTCGGCAGACAGTAACTACACTTTTTCTATTGTTCAAACATCAGGAGAGCAAGCTGACCACATTGATATGTTTTGTATCAAGAAAGTACAGGTAACGTGCATTTGTACAATATCCTGCTGAAAAATAGAGCTAGAGAGGTTTCGAAAATAGAGCAGTGACACAGGTTTAAATACATCTGAAATGTAATGGTTGACGTTCAAAGAGCCAGGAATGCAAACAAGAGGGCATCGACTCACGCGTCTAATAGCACCCACTATAATCCCCATTATAATGGGGATGGATCAGTATAGCGACGTCGAATGCGAGTTGGTACAGAGCATTTTCTTTACAGGCTCAGCATTTGCCTGTAAAGATGACGTGCCACCATTCATGAATCCAGGTTGGGCAGTAGTCCCACCACTGCAGGTGCTCCTGTTTGTGATGTAGAGTCATAAGTAACAGATACCTTGGTTGCCACATTGATGGTTCAGACTGCTGCAAACATTGTTGAACTGAATCAGCTCAAACTTGTTTTCCGCAAATGATTCCATTTCCAAACTCAGGGTTTCTAATGGGGTTGTACAATCCCCTGTGGCCATTCGGATAAGACATTTGTCTTCTTGGCTTTTAATGTGAGGGGCCACTGAAATACGTTGATCTCAAGACCATCCTGAATCCAATGATTTTATATTTTGAGGGCAATTAAGGGATCTCGGCCAACGCGAGCAACAATAATGCAGTACGATAAATCGCAATTCAGTTAAGCTATAATCTGTTCTTAATTACGTCAGGTGCAAATTGAGCCTGACAAAATTGCTGTCTAACACAGATTTCCATTGCTGTTGATGGATCTTTATTGGCCCGGAAAATCCCATGGTGGGATTCAGTTTTCCCACATTGATTTCCATATTGTTTGGTTTTCATCAACATAAGATTAATTAAATTCATAAAGGTAATCAATACCTTTAGGACTTATACAATCTAACTATTATCAATAGAGAATTCTAAGCTGATGTAAATCCACTGTCTACAGGAAATCCATCAATAGTCAATCAGTTACAGATGCAACCAATAGGAATACGCTTTTATTAGGATAAGAATACGAATCGTCCAATAGAAATAGTGCAGAGGGAAATTGATAGAATGATAAAGGAACACTGATTTAATTCAACCTCTAACTCAGACTTTTCTATTCACTTTTGTCTATTGATGCTTCCGACATGTTTTACCATAAACAATTTTAAAGTTTTATGTCGCAGTAAATGTAATGAAATAAGTGCTCTTTTCTTTTTTCAGGTATATTGGGTGGGACCAGTGCTTGGTGGTATCATAGGTGGCGTCACTTACGATTACACTCAAGAAACTCACGCTCAACAGGTTTTAAGGCGATCTTTTAGAAAGAAAAATGGCAACACAGTAATAAACAGAGATCTAAGCGCCCTCTCCTATAATGAAACAGAACTTACTTTGGACCACTGTCGGCTCTGACATTTAGTGAACACTCTTCGCCAAAACAAACCTCTTTACAAAACAAACTTTTGTGCATTGTATCATTGATTGTGATTCCATGGTTGGTTATTCTTCTCTAGGGGAGACTAGTTTCATTTGATACAAATTATTTTGCGAACTTGTTTTCAAATCCAATGCTTGTTTTAACTCTATTCTTCAAAAATAGGAAACTTCTCCGAAAAACTAAAAATATGCTAAATAAAAGTCCAAAAACCTATTTTTTATTTTATCTATCCACACAATTAAGTAAATGCAAAATATTCCTGTAATATTCCTTTAATACATTTTCAAACATTTAAAGCGTCTCAGAAACATTTCTACTCACTTCGTAAAATGGAGCAAAGTATGATTTTCTGAAAGCGTCAATTAAATTTTCATTTACAACATTTTTAAATTGCTAAATATTACATTTAGAACAAAACTGTTATATTCTCAAATTTCAAAACACATGAACTTTTCTTATAATATACATAACTTTTATCACGATTTGGAAAATCTAAGATTTTCTGAAATGTAAATGGAACGTTTTGCGCCATAATGATGAATTTAGAAGTAATATTTTAAAAACAGCCAAATGTTATGTCAGTATTATATTAATCTAGAAGGAAGGTAATCAAATATATATATA